TGAATATTTTAGAAATAGTAAGTTTTCTTACCTTCAAAAGTTCAAAGTAATGCAGACAGTGGTAAACAGGGGCTAGAAGTAGTCTGGGTAAAACATATTGGACAGCTTCTTTGAAACCTTCGCCTATTGACTAGAAAAGAAAGTGATTTAATTTTTTTTGTTTACTTTTCTGACATCATACGTCTTAATTTAAAAATTACTGTACCTGCAAATAAAGCGCAGCCCCAGGCTTTGATAACTGACTAAGGAAACGATCATGAAAACCCGGTCGTAAAATATCTCGAGCATACGATTCATATGGATCAAATGCCAGTTCCTTAGAAAATAAAGAAGGTAAAACATAAATAATCTACTACTATAGACACAGAAAAATTACGGGCATGCCTACACCAGCACAATTACATTTTTCTTTTAGCGTCTCTAAACAACAAAAATCTACAACTATTAATTATAATTTTAATGGAATAAATCCCAATATTCTTAAGAGAACAAATGAGTTCTTTCTGATGAGTAATAGGATCCTTATATGTTATAACACTTCTCATTAAAGGATTCTATAGAGTATTATCAACAAACATGGACATAAAGAATGAGAAGACTTTTGGTTCTGGAAAATAAATGAACAGAGTTTAACTTGAACAACAAGAATATAGACATCAACAGCTAGGTAGGGTGTAAATGTAGAAGACTGCAGCCAGATAATTATTTTCTAATAGTTTTTTCTTGGCGATGGACATTTACTGTCATATGTAGACCAGAGGTAACAGTTTATATCATCTTAAATTCCTTTATACAGGCTCACAAAACAATTAAATGATTTAATCCAAACTGCTCCAAAATTTTACCATCATCATTAATATCACCAATCATTAATAAATTAAATTCTAATGGCTCAGTCTGAAAGAGTAAAATCTCCTGGTTTCGGTAATTCCTAAGGAAAATGAGAACAGGTATCTTGATTTTAGCAGAAAGAACAAGGTCACTACTCTTGTCATCCTGTGTTCTGTCCCAGTATAAACTGTTACGAAAACGGTGCTCTAGAGTCTAGCAAGAGCTCATTTCCATAAAGGGTAATTCTAGAAAGAGGAAGAGGACATCTAGTGGCTCAGCATAGTAGAAGTTGGCAGGAGGGAATGGGAGAACCACTCACCGATGGCTAGGTATCAATCACACTAATGTGGTTCAGATTGCTTAAGGAAAGTCTGAATAGTAACAGCACCAGATCAGGAGTCAGAAGAGCCGAGTTCTGGTTGTTGTGCAGTGCAAAATAGCATACAATGTTCCAAGCCCTCCTGGATTCTTTGAACCGGATCCTAACTCATTTCCCAACTTTGACTTCTTCAACGGTCTTCTCGACTAAAAATTTCTATTGTAACACCAGAAATTGCAGTCCACTGTATGTTTTACAGAAATGGATAGTAAGGGTTCGGTAACAACAAAAGGAAGAAGTCAGGTATGAATGGAGTGGATGGGAAACAAGACTAAATCTCTGATGAGATGCTCACATCTTGGGTCTCTCTGAACTACTAGAAATTATCATATGCAGCAGACATGCTTGCCTTCCTCCCTTTTCAATAATAATTTATTGCAGAATTTTCATGACAGCTATGGGTGAAAAAAAGCCTTTATAGATATAAAAGTTTAAAAGCACAGGCTTAGGAGTCATGGAGGCCCAGGTTCCAATTCTGACTCACTAATTATCTGTGTGACATCAACAAACTGCTTACTCTCTCAAAGCCTGTTTTCTCATTGGAAAATGTAGATAATACTTACTTCACAGGGTTAAGAAATCAAATGAGATACCCTACATAAACTGTGTCTGGAACAGAGTAGACACTGAATAGATGGTAGTTAGTGTTATTCTAAAATAACTAATCTCGAGAGAAAACAAATGGACAATTAAGTGGGAATTCAAACTCTTTTCACATAATTTTGTTCTTGAGGATAAATTTGTAAAATGACAAGCATTTTAAGAATGCAGGTACTAATTAATAATTTTAGGTTAGGTTCACTGTTAAAATGTAACAGAATTCATAGAAAAATATACAATTTGTCAATACACATGATTGACAAAGTGTAGCAACCTAACCTAACTATACCCACCATCTAAAACGTGAGAAAGTTCAGCATTTTATAATACTTGCCTTAGTTTTTTAAAAAAATAAACAAAACAATATAGATATAATTGATCCCTCTCTCACAAGCTCATCTATCCCTGCTGATCCCCAAGGGAAGTCACTACCCTGAGTCTGAATCTTATTCCCATTGTATTTTTTAATATAATAATTATATACGTATGACGACACAAGACAATGCATTGTTTTGCCTGCTTTCAAATTTCACATAAGTATCATAATGTATATATTCTTTTGTTGTTTTTTGTTTGAGTCAGAGTCTCACTGTGTCGCCCAGGGTGAAGTGCAGTGAAAGGATCATGGCCACTGCACCCTCAATCTCCTGGGCTCAGGTGATTCTTCTGACTCAGCCTTCCAAGTAGCTGGGACTATAGGGGCACGCCACCACACCTGGCTAATTTTTTATTTGTTGTAGAGATGAGGTCTTGCCAAGTTGCTCAGGCTGGTCTTGAACCTCTGGGCTCAGGCAGTTCTCTTGCCTCCACCTCCCAAAGTGCTGGGATTACAGGCGTGAGCCATCATGCCTGACCGATACAACATATATGTTCTTCTGCAAGTTGCTTTTTATACTCAGAGTTGTTTTCAAGATTTATCCATTTTGATTCATGTGTTGTTTTCTGTTTATTTTAAACTCTGCATAATATTCTACTGTCTGACTATACCACTTTTCTTTATTCTCCAATGATTGGCAACTGTTTCATGTTTCTCACAATTATAAACAATTCTGATTAACACTTAGTATACAGGCACCTTGTTTTATTGTGTTTTGGATATACTGTGTGGTTTTTTTTAAAACAAAATTGAAGACTTGTGGCAACCTTATCTCCAGCAAGTCTGTTGGCCCCATTTTTCCAACAGCATGTGCTCACATTTGGTAATTCTTGCAATATTTCAAACTTCATTATTATTATTTAAACATCACTCACTCACCATTCTGAAAGTACTAGGGTCATTAAGAATTATGCTAAATCTACTCTGCCTGTGCCCTATAAGTGAAACAGCAAAGCCTGGATGACAGCACATTTGTTTTCAGCATGTTTTACTCAATATTTTAAACTCATCATTGAGATGTACTGCTTAGAAACAAAGATTCCTTTAAAAATATTTACATTGAACCTAGTCACCTGAGACCTCTGATGGAGACATACAAGGAGAATAATGTTGTTTTCATGCCTGCTAACATCACATTCATTCTGCAGCCCATCAATCAAGGAGGAATTTCAACTTTCAAGTCTTATTTCAGAAATACATTTTGTAAGGCTATAGCTGCCGTGGTTAGTGGTTCCTCTGATGGATCTGGGCAAAGTCAATTGAAAATCTTCTGGAGGCTGGGCATGGTGGCTCAGCCTGTAATCCTAGCACTTTGGGAGGCTGAGGCAAGAGGATTGTCTGAACCCAGGGGCTCAAGACCAGCCCGAGCAACTTAGTGAAACCTCATCTCTACAATAAATCACAAAAACTAGCCGGGCATGGTGGCATTTGTCTGTAATTCCAGCTACTTGGAAGGCTGAGGTGGAAGGATTGCCTAAACCCAGCAGGTCGAGGCTAGGGTAGCCGTGAGTGTGCCACTGCACTCCAGCCTGGGTGACAGAGTGAGACTCTGACTCAAAAAAAAAAAAAGAAAGAAAGAAAATCTTCTGGAAAGGATTCATGATCCACAGGAGGAGGTCAAGCTGTCCACACTAATAGGAGTTTGGAGTTGATTCCAACCCTCATGGATGGCTTTGAGTGGTCCAAGACTTTAGAGGAGGAAGTAATTGCGAACCAGAATATGAAGCGGTGCCTGAAGATATGACTGAATTGCTGCAATCTCATGGTAAAACTTGAACAGATGAAGAGCTGCTTCTTATGGATGAGCAAAGAACAGGGTTTCTTGAGATGGAATCTACCTCTGATGAAGATGCTGGGAACATTTTTGAAATTATAGCAAAGATCTTAGAATATTACTTTATCAGTGTGGCAGGGCTTGAGAGGATTGACTCCAATTTTGAAGGAAGTTCTACTAGGGCAAAAATGCTATCATACAACATCACATGCTACAGAGAAATCTTTTGTGAAAGGAAGAGTCAATTGATGAGGCAAACCTTACTGTTGCCTTATTTTGAGTAATTGCCACAGTAACCCCAGCCCTCAGCAGCCACCATCCTGATCAGTCAGCAACCATCAGCATCAAGGCGAGATCCTCAACCAGCAAAAAGGTTAGGATTCGCTGAAGGCATGGATGATCATTAGCAATTTTTTTAGCAATAAGATATTTTCAAAATGTAAGTGCATTTTTTTGACATATGCTCTTGCATACTTATTACAGTATTCTACAAACATAACATGTACAAGCACTGAGGAGCCAGAAAATTCATATGATTTTACTGCTTTACTACAATATTTTATTGTGATGGTCTGAAACAGAACCCACAACATCTCTGAGGTATACCTGCATGTCTTTTTTTTTTGAGTTGGAGTCTCACTCTGCCGTCCAGGCTGGAGTTCGGCGGCATACTCACGGCCACCTCAGCGACAACCTGCTGAGCTCCAGTGATCCTTCTGCCTCAGCCTTCCAAGTAGCCAGAACTACAGGTGCACGCTACCATGCCTGGCTAATTTTTTATTTATTGTAGAGACGAGGTCTCGCCAAGTTGCCCAGACTGGTCTTGAACCTGCAGGCTCAGGCAATCCACTCACCTCAGCCTCCCAAAGTGCTGGGATCACAGGCTGAGCCACAGAGCCCGGCCTGCCTGCATGTCTTATTGGGCACATTTGCATGAATGTTACTAGAGCACATAAACTAGAAGGGGAGGTTGCGTTCTAAAGTGGCTGTATCAATGTATGTGTTTACCAGCAGTGACTTTTCCCAATTGTCCACTTCATCACCAGCATTTGGTTCTACTAGACTTAAAAAAATTGTCAGTCTGAGGATGGGGGGCACATACAAACACAAAGGGTACCTGGTCCACTACCAGGGGGAGTGAGGGCCAGTTAGAAGCCTAAACTTCACCTGCACGCAGCCTACTTGTGTAGTCAGTCCTCACTTGGACCCTAAAACTCTATCATAATAAAAAAAAAAAGTTTGTCAGCTTGATGCCATGAGAGTAGGCCATGTCTTTTTCTATGCATTTCCCTGATTAGCAGTAAGGCCAGGAGTCTGCTCATGTGGCTGTTGGCCATTTTTATCTTACCTTCCGAG